GGAGAGTGATGACAGATGAGGTGGGAACAGTAGGCAGGTCTTGCCGGGTCTGAGTGGCCATAGTGTGGAGTTTGGAATATCTCTTAAATGCTCTGAGAAGTTCTGAGTATGTTTTGTACAGGAAGTGGTCTGATTTAATTTGGATTTTACATGATCATTTGTGATTTATGGAAGGAGAGTTTCTTGCTCTTTAACATCTTCCTTTCCTTAGGACCGTTTTTTTTGAATCCTGGCTGACCCTGAAGCTAGGATAATAAATTCAAGATGAGGAAGAGATAGAGGTAACTTTTAGGAACAGTAAGAGAAAGACCAACTTGACAACGGAGACAATCTTCTCATTGATCTTCACTTGCCCACTCTACTCCCATCCCCCATGCCTATCTAGGCAGATTGGAACCCAGTGGAACCAAGTGAACATCACTTCATATCAGGAAATGAGGAGAAAAAGATAGGAGACTGGGGGGTTGGAAGAAAAGAGGTTAAAGAGAAGAGAAGACATCCATAGGAGGTTTGTTTTGTAATGAATAGAAGGACAGGTCCCACTCTGCCGAGGACATGAAAAATAGAGAACATAAGGACTCTACCTTACTGAGGACCCGTGGAAGAGGATGCATTGAAAGAGTAGAGGAGCCATCCTGGCCTCCCCACCACTATAGACCCTGCATGGCTTGGAGACTGTAGAAAACTAAATGGAATTGGAAGCATCTCAGGAAATGACAACCACTGTAAACAAACAAGGGTCTTCCCTGGTGGCTCAGAGGTTAAAGCGTCTGCCTCCAATGCGGGAGACCCAGGTTCAATCCCTGGGTTGGGAAGATCCCCTGGAGAAGGAAATGGCAGCCCACTCCAGTATTCTTGCCTAGAGAATCCCATGGAAGAGCCTGGTAGGCTCCAGTCCACGGTGGGGCTTCCCAGGTGGTGCTAGTGCTAGTCTACTTGCCAATGCAGGAGATGCAGGAGACACTAGTATAGTCCTTGGGTGAGGAAGATCCCTTGAAGTAGGAAATGGCAATCCATTCCAGTATTCTTGCCTAGAAAATCCCATGGGTATAGGAGCCTGGTAGGCAACAGTCATAGGGCCACAAAGAGTTGGACATGACTATGTGATGGAGCACATAATAAAAGTAGTAGTTACTGATAGTTTCCATGCACCGAAAGTAATTTGCCACATTAACACATTAGATTCTGCAACCACACTCAGAGGTAGGAACTATTACTGTTCCCACTTTACGGAGGAATTAATGGAGGCACAGTGAGATTAGAGAACTTGCCCAAGGTCATTAACTTAGAAACTGGGATTTATGTAAATGTCGTATTTTCTATTCTCTTTGTAACGCATCCAATACTTGAACTATTTCAAATCCTAAAAGATGGTGCCATTAAAGTGGTGTGCTCATTATGCCAGCAAATTTGGAAAACTCAGCAGTGGCCACAAGACTGGAAAAGGTCAGTTTTCATTCTAATCCCAAAGAAAGGCAATGCCAAAGAATGTTCAAACTACCACACAGTTGCACTTGTCTCACACACTAGCAAAGTAATGCTCAAAATTCTCCATGCCAGGCTTCAACAGTATGTGAATTGTGAACTTCCAGATATTCAAGTTGGACTTACAAAAGGAAGGGGAACCAGAGATCAAATTGCCAATGATCCATTGATGATCCTTTGGATTATTGAAAAAGCAAAAGAGTTCCAGAAAAACATCTATTTTTGTTTTATTGACTATGCCAAAGCGTTTGAGTGTGAGGATCACAAAAAAATGTGGAAAATTCTTAAAGAGATGGGAATACCAGACCACCTGCCCTGCCTACTGAGAAATCTGTATGCATGTCAAGAAGCAACAGTTAGAACTGGACATGGAACAACAGACTGGTTTCAAATGGGAAAGGAGTATGTTAAGGCTGTATATTGGCACCCTGCTTATTTAACTTATATACAGAGTACATCATGTGAAATGCTGGGCTGGATGAAGCACAAGCTAGAATCAATATTGCCAGGAGAAAAATCAGTAACCTAAGACATGCAGATGACATCACCCTTATGGCAGAAAGCAAAGAAGAACTCAAGAGCCTCTTGATGAAAGTGAAAGAGGAGAGTGAAAAAGTTGGCTCAAAACTCAACATTCAGAAAACTAAGATCATGGCATCTGGTCCCATCTCTTCATGGCAAATAAATGTAGAGACAATGGAAGCAATGAAAGACTTTATTTTCTTGTGCTCCAAAATCACTGCAGATGATGACTGAAGCCATGAAATTAAAAGACACTTGCTCCTTGGAAGAAAAACTATGGTCAACCTAGACAGCATATTAAAAAGCAGAGACATTACTTTATCAGCAGTTTCGTCTAGTCAAAGCTATGATTTTTCCAGTAGACATGTATGGATGTGAGAGTTGGACCATAGATAAGACTGACTGCTGAAGAATTGATGCTTTTGAACTGTGGTGTTGGAGAAGACTCTTGAAAGTAACTTGGATTGCAAGGAGATCAAACCAGTCAATCCTAAATGAAATCAACCCTGAATATTCATTGGAAGGATTCATGCGGAAGCTAAAACTGTAATACTTTGGCCACCTGATGTGAAGAACTGACTCATTGGAAAATAACCTGATGCTGGGAAAGATTGAAGGCAGGAGGAGAAGGGGACGACAGAGGATGAGATGGTTGAATGGCATCACCATCTTGATGGACATGAGTTTGAGCAAGCTCCGGGAGCTGGTGATGGACAGGGAAACCTGGAGTGCTTCAGTCCATGGGGTCTCCAAGAGTCGGACATGACTTAGTGACTGAACTGAACTGAACCATATCCACTGCATTCCACCCACTGCCCCCCAACCTGACCTCATATTAGTTTCAGGATTCATGTCCATTAGTGGGCTGATTTTTCAAAGTGCCATGGCTTCATTCACAACAGAATCAGGATATAGTCAAACAATGTAAAACTGCAGAAACTGTGTCCTTGACAGCCTTCTCTGATTTGCCTCTGCTCCACTTCAATCAGCTATGAGAACACTCGGGTAAGATTCCTCTGCGCTAATGATGAATAACTAATGTAACTGATCATTCCTTTCGGAGACCAGTGATAGTTCTAGTGCCAGGCACATGTTACAACTCTTATGGATGATTTAGTTTTGATTAATGTTTCATCATGTTTTCATAGTTTTCAGAAAATATATTTTAGTTCTTAGGTTTCCAAGGAACTGTACGCCTCAAGATGAAATGATGAAACCATAGAAAACAGCTGCCATGAAGACAGTCATTATTGCTACTGGAAAATGTAGGGCATGGATCTGAAATGAAGATTAAGCTCTTTTCTCTGTCATTGACGTAAGCTTTTCTGCATTAGTTGAATGCCTCCCTGAGTCACTACAAAATGTAGCCTCTTAACCAATGTCATGGAAATATTTGCAACATTAAAAAACAAAAGATGTTACAAGAGGCATCAGCACTTAGAAAAGTACATATTTAATTTCTGCAATTGTAATTTTTATAATTATACTTTCTTTGTAAGGATTTCTAATATATTTTCATGGATAACCAGCTAAACATTTTTTTGTTAGGAATCTGTATACTTCTGTTATTGTTGTTCAATCACTAAGTCTTGTCCAACTCTTTATGACCCATAGCCTGCAGCATGCCAGGCTCCACTGTCCTTCACTAAGTCCTGAAGTTTGCTCAGATTCATTTCTACTGAGGCAGTGATGCTATCTAACCATATGTAACCATCTTTTTCTCTGTTGCCTCTTTCTCCTACCCTCAATCTTTCCCAACATCAGGGTCTTTTCAACAAGTCAGTTCTTTGCATCAGGTGGTCAAAGTATTGGAGCTTCAGCTTCAGCAGTCCTTTCAATGAATATTCAGGGTGGATTTCCTTTAGGATTGACTGTTTTTGTCTCCTTGCAGTCCAAGCAGCTCTCAATAGTCTTCTCCCACACCACAGTTCAAAAGCTTCAATTCTTTGGCATTCAGCCTTCTTTATGGTCCAACTTTTATATCCATACATGACTACTGGAGAAACCATAGATTTAACTGCATACTTACCCACACATTGTTTTGCTACTATGGATCTCTAATTGGTATAGTACTACAACCTAATTGCAACCCACTCCTGTATTCTTGCCTGGAAAATCCCATGGACTGAGGATCCTGGTAGGCTACAGTCCATGGGGTCGCAACGAGTCGGACACGACTGAGCGATTTCACTTTCACAACCTAATGCAGTCTCTATTATATACAATATGAATTATGCTTGGCATGAGGTAAATAGAGACACAAATACCCCATCTTTAAACATGGGGTCAGGGAGCAGACATACCAACAATTCAGTTAGAATTCAAAAGAAATGAAGTAATCATAAAATAGGTTGAATGAAAGGTCTGAGGAGCTGCAAAGAAGGCAGAGTTAAGAGAGATGAAATTTCCTGAAGAAGGTGCTGTTGTTAAACAGAATCTTGAATAATGGTCTGGATCTCAAGTATACAATAGCCACAAATATTAATTCTTCAAGAAATATTGGCTATATGAATGTGATTAAAAATCTAGTGGGTAGTACAGTCATTTTGAAAGACAATTTGACAGTTTCTTATATATATATAATACATATATTATATATTCTTGCCACACAAACCAGCAATTGCACTGCTTGGCAATTACCCAAATAGCTGATAACTTATATGGACACAAGAATCTGCACATGAATGTTTATAGCAGATTTATTCATAATTGCCAAAGTTTGGAATCCACCAAGATGTCTTAAAGTGGGAGGATAGATAAGTGAATGTTCATATATCCAAAAATGCAATCTTATTCAACACTAAAAAGAAGTGAGCTATCAAGTCACAAAAATACATGGGGGAAACTTAAATGTATGGTACTAAGTGAAAGAAACAAATCTGAAAAGGCTACATACCGCATGATTCCAATTATATGACAATGGGGAAAAGGTAAAACTATGGAGACAGGAGAAAGTTCTGTGGTTGCCAAGAGTGAGGGGAGGGATGAATAGGTGTAGCTCAGAGGGTTGTTAGGGCAGTGAAATTACTCTTTATGAGGCTGTTACATTGGATGCATTATACACTTGTACAAACCCATAGACTCTGCAACACCAGGAGTAAACCATAATGCACACTACAGACTTATGGTGATTATGATTTGTCAATGTAATTTCATCAATTGTAACAAATGGATCACTCTGGTAGGAAATACTGATAATGGGGGTAGTTTACATGTGTACCATTGGGGAATACATAGGCAATCTCTGTACCTGTCCCTCAATTTTATTGTGAACCTAAATCTGTTCATAAAAAAAGAAAAAAGGTTTGTTTTTTTTTTTTTAAAAATAAGAAAAATCTAGTAGCAAAGAAAAGAAAAAGTGTTCAGGAAGGGACAAATGGGAACAGTATTCTAGACAGAGAGATCATTTCCCTGTATTTTTTTAGGAAGAATATAGACCTATAGTGAGACTAAAGAAGACTTAACTGAATTACACACTGTGGCTGTCGGAAAGTAGAGAAACAATTGGCTATGGTTTGACATGTGTAAGAAGTGTGATATTAGGAAGGATGTGTGAACATAATTTCAAAGATGTGATTATTTTCTTTCTGTGTCTCAGGCGATGGCTGTACCATCCATTCAGCTGAACAAGTCAGATTCCTAGAAATTGTCCTCGACATGCCGTGAGTTCTGTTGACACTATGTCCTGGTGCTGGGAAACAGTCCATTTCTCCGTATCCCCACCACCTCTAATCTTTGCACATTAGATTCTTAAAATTCCTTCTAAATGGTTTCTCTTCATCTACCCAGACTCTTAATTCTGTTCTCTACTTTGCAACTAGAGTGATCTTTTAAAAAAAGCCTGTCTTCTTTGGTAAAACTCTTATCTGGTTTGTCCTTAACAAGGTACAAAAATTCTTTATGATGTGTTCCCTGCCTCCATTTCTAGCCTTATTTCACACCATTCTCATATATCATTATAAACTGTCTTTCAACGGACTAACCTACATTTAAATGTGTGTGTGTGCTGAGTCACTCAGTCGTGTCTGAGTCTTTGCGACTCCATGGACTGTAGCCCACCAGAGTCCTCTGTCTGTAGAAATTTCCAGGCAAGAAAACTGAAATAGGTTGCCATTTCCTCCTCCAGTGGCTCTTCCTGACCCAGGGATCAAACCTGCATCTCCTGTGTCTCCTGCATTGGCAGGCAGATTCTTTACCACTAAACCACGGGGAAACCCCTACATTTGTATATGTTTGTGTAATTAATTTTTCTCTTTCTTACCAGGGGAATCCATAAACTTATATGAACTCTGCCTCTAACTTTGCATCCCATTTGTATGATTCTTAGAAGCTACTTAAACTTGTAAACTTTATCATTCTGTTTCTTCATCTTAAAAGAAAATAGAATGGAAATATCTACTGAGTGATTTTATAGATTAAATGGAACAATAGTCACCAGAGTTCTGAGAACAATGCCTGACATAGTACATGTTCGATAGATCAGACCTGCTAGATACAGAATGTCAATACATGTAACAAAGTCTGGTTCTGCATTTCATTGATTTGCGTGATGCCTGACCCAGTTGTATAATCCCTCAATGAATATTTTTAAATAAACAAATAATAAATGATATAAGTTCAAGAGTGTACACAATGGAATATTGTTTCATGTTTGTGGAATTTAAAGGCTAATATACATATCTATGGGCTTCCCGGGTAACTCAACTGGTAAAGAATCCACCTGCAATTCAGGAGATCTGGGTTTGATCCCTGGGTTAGAAAGATCCCCTGGAAAAGAGAATGGTTACCCACTCCAGTATTCTGGCCTGGAGAATTCCATGGACTGTTTAGTTCATGGGTTCACAAAGAGTCAGATGCAACTGAATGCCTTTCATTTTCATACATGTCTACAATATTGACAAGGAGTCCAACTGATATCCGTATTTGAGTCTTAAAAGATGACAATTTAGGTGTAAATTCTTAGTCCACTTGCCAACTCAGGAGACATACGAGATGCAGGTTCAATCCCTGGGTGGGAAAGATCCCCTGCAAAAGGAAATGGCAACCCACTCCAGTATTCTTGCTTGAAAAATTCCATGGACAGAAGAGCCTGGTGGGCAACAGTTCATGGAGTCTCAAAGGGTTGGACACTACTGAGCATGCACACATATCTTAGCCTTGCAAGTCAAGAAAAACAAATTTTGGTGATAATAGATTAAGCTCATTTGGGAATATTGGTTTCCATAACTAGACTCACAAGACATGACTATAAAAACAAGAGTCCTAATTTATTGGCTTAGAATGAGAGATTTAGCTATACAATGTATATGACAGTTTATATTTTTATTTGCACATCTTCCCTTTCTTAGGATAGTCTATATGAAAAGCAAATATTATAGAAAATGTATTTGTTAGTCATGAAATCAGAGCAAAGGGCATAGTTGGATAATGTTTGTAACTAGTGACAGTAGGCTAATCATGGATATTATGATCCAGCCTTCTTCACTTTATGAACACAATGACAATAGACACATTACCCCCCCATGAATTGTTCTGATCCAGTTGTGGTTTTGGTGATAGTGTACCTTTTGCTAGACAATACACAGGGAACTTGTTTGTGTTTATTGTTTTCTTTTCCAGATTTTTGCTTAGATTGAAATTTCTATGACTATTAAGTCAGAAGAAAACAACTTGATCTTTCTTTATTAGACTGAGACATTTCCTAAATCTTCTCAGTCATAGTTCTACAGATTGATTTTAGGGTAGTGTTATTGTTGTTATTGTTATTTGGCCTTTTAACTAAGAGTTAATCACATTCATTGTGTTGAGGTTTTACTGTTCTCATTCTGGAGAAATTTGCTGATGTCTACAATATGCTGAATACTATCATAATATTAAATAGTTGACTTTTCCAGTATCTTTTCATGTTTGGGCTATTTTTTACATATGGACAATTTCATTGTTATAGTTGTTGTTTTTAATGTTTCCTTGCTATGATAATCAGAAAGGAACCTTCCAAAATTCAACTGAAGGATATTTGTAGAATGACAGAAAAGAAAGGAATGTGCAGACCTGAGGGCAGCATTTTATTTTTTTTTTTTTTTTTTTTTTCCATTTATTTTTATTAGTTGGAGGCTAATTACTTTACATCATTGCAGTGGTTTTTGTCATACATTGAAATGAATTAGCCATGGATTTACATGTATTCCCCATCCCAGTCCCTCCTCCCACCTCCCTCTCCACCCGATCCCTCTGGGTCTTCCCAGTGCACCAGGCCTGAGCACTTGTCTCATGCACCCAACCTGGGCTGGTGATCTGTTTCACCCTAGATAATATACATGTTTCGATGCTGTTCTCTTGAAACATCCCACCCTCGCCTTACAGTATTGTGTTGATCTCTGTCATACATTAACATGAATCAGCCATAGGTATACATGTGTCCCCTCCCTCTTAAACCTCCTTCCCACCTCCCACCCCGTTCCACCCCTCTAGGTCATCACAGAGCACCAGGTTGAGCTCCCTACATCATAAGGCAACTTCCCACTGGTTATCTATTTTACATTTGGTATTGTATACGTTTCCATGCTGCTCTCAATTCATGCCACACTCTCCTTACCCCATTGTGTCTACAACTCTGTTGTTTATGTCTGTGTCTCCATGGCTGGGTGGCAGCATTTTAGATGTACCTGCCCTGGAGATTTACTCGCACAGAAGCTAAGACTCAGGCAAGGATGCTGATTTCTTCAGTTTACAGTTGTCATGGAATTGACTTTTATTTAAAAGGAAATAAATGTTCTCTCTTTATGAATAAATCTTCACAAATTATCTTGAAGTCTTTTAGTTTTCCTTATCATTGGATTACAGGAAGAAATGTCATTTTATAGTCTTAATGAGTATTTATGTGAAGATGGCTTTAAAGTTACTAAAAATAGATATAGTAAAATTTCCATATTTTTAGACTAATCAGGGGGAAGCTAAGTTAGTTTAAATGTAATGAAAGGTCTGAAATCATTTTTATTATTTTCAAGCGTAGTGGTAACTAAAACAGTCTAACTCCAGGCCTATTAGTGAAACACAGCAGACTGTTTGTAGTTAGCATACTGGTTGCTCTAAGATACAATTAAATATCCAAATAATATTCTAGAAGACACTTGAAAGAGCAAACAGGATTTTTACTATTGATTTTTCAAATCTGTTTTCCAAAATTGTACAAAATTGTATTTTGTCTAAAAATCAAAATTATATGTTATATAATTATATAAAACTATACCTTGTTTTAAAATTGTCACAAGCTTCAAATTTGTAAGGTATACCTAGGATGTAAACTATATTAAAACTTTGAGGGTGGAAAGTTGAAACAGTTATTTTTTTGAAATAGCAGCTACATGTGTTTTATGGTCTTCTGAGTTTTTAAGGTCTGCACGGCCCTAATTATGATTACAATTACTGGCTCAGTTAAAGTTGAATGCATGATTATGTGGGAGGATTTTAGGGAATAAGTTGGAAATTTTAACTCAGTAATTGCCAGTGATTAATTCTATTTTTTCAGACTGTTTTCTGTTTGAATTTGAAAAGTTGGTTTATTATTTCCTTGAAGTGTAATTGCCTCTAAATTATGTACAAGGCTCTAAGTTCTGAGTTAATTATATCCTAGTGAGCTCTTTTAAATCAACCCTAGAAGTTTCAAGGTGTACACATCTTAAGAACCTGTTAAATCCTTTAACATGTGTCTGGGTAAAGAACTGCCATGCATGATTGATGACTGGTTTTTTGAAGCTCTTTCAATTCTGTGGTGCCAGTCATTAAAGGCATTGAAGTTCATCTCTATTGAAGAATTTATAGAGATTCAAAAAATTATAATTATGCTGGTGAATCTCTGGTCAATGCTTTTCATCCCAACTTCTTTAGAAAACACAAGCTCCTGGTCTGAACTGTGAAAAAAATGTAGACATAGAAAGTGTCAGGTCACAATCATTTTATTTAACATGCACTCATTAAATTTCCAAAAATGGAAAACAAAGTAGCATAATGAAAAGAATGAGAAATCCTGAAGGCTAAAGTTGACATTTGTCATGATGATATTACAATTAATCTGTGAAATAAATGAACTGTCCTTCCATTTACCTGCTCATTTATTCATATTAAAAGTGGTATGGAGTTCTAACTCAAGAGAGTACATGTATAATACTCATTCACTTTTCATTCTTCTGGCAATGTATAGAAATAAGAACTTAAAAAATACATATAAACCCTAAACAATGACATGAATCATGAGACAGGGTTAATTAAGGAGTGAAAAAGGAGAGAGATAAATACATTTCTGGAACACTAAAGACAGTTGAGGACATGATGACAAGTTGAAAGATAAAACAAAGTCAAAAAAGCCATATTTCATAATAAGCACAGTGAAATTTCAGTGGAGTCAAAAGCCTAACTTCTTGAGTAAAGACAAGAAAAACTAAAAACTTGAAAATATGGGACAAATTGATGTCTTTTTGAACAGCTGCCCCAGGTGGCCTTCACATTCATATCCTTAATTCACCTATAAAAACAAACAAAAATACTTACTTGTTTTATACTTTCTATTAGCAATGCTGGATGTTGATAAATAAAGCCATTCATGTGGAAACTTTTTAAACAGAATTTTTGAGACTCAACTGAAGTATTGATCCAGGGTGAAAGC